TTTTAAGCGAGTGACCCAAATACACATAAACTGGGACACGTCATTTTAGCAGATTAAAAAGTTACAAGTTTTGCTGAAATTTTGCAGAATTTTCATAATTTTTACACTAAGTGTGAAATCTGTTTGTAGTATATGTTCTTTATTAAGTAATGAGCTACATATTCATAAAAAAAAATACTTATTAAATAAACTAAAGAAGAATAGGCAAAACTTGCTACAATTTTGCGTCCCAGTTTATATTTGGGAGAACGCAGCGTGAATTTTCTTCATAAAATTTTTGTTATGAATGTCTTAAATTTAAGTGTGAAGTTTTATTCGCTACACTTAGAAAATAAAAGAGCACGAATTTCGATGTGGAGCAAAACTCTCTAGGAAGACAATACATGGTGCAAACATACTTTTTATAAAATAAAACTGCAGTAGTTTTTATCTTATGTGGATAATTCTTGTGACAAATACATAGTTTCGTGCTTATATTTTTGTATATATATTTTTAGCAGCACCACATCTTTATCAGAAAATTCCGAAAATCCAAAAATTGGTACTGTTACAAGTTGCAGGCATCATTTTAACTCGACCTCTTTCCTGTTCCACGGATAATGGTACATCTTTCAGAGGTTTAAAGATATTTTGAGTCAGCAATTTGTTATCAATCTACGTACCCTACCTCGGAAAAGCAAAAAACTTTATATTCGAACGTTTGCTCAGATGTACCGAATTCTGGCAGTTTTTCATCCAACTTCACTAACTTCAATTTTTTTTTCTACTTTTTTAAGAAACAAAAATTTTTCTGCTAGTGAATCTGATGGCATGATTTTAGTTAAATGTCATAAACTTGTTAAAAGTGAAGTGGTCGGCAACAACAACGAATGTCAATAAATTAAACTACCTTCTGCTTTCACAGCTTTACCTGTTCATTTCTCAAAATATTGCACTCCGACTAAGCAAAAGTGACATACTTTCAGCTAATATAGCCATTTTGCGGGACAAAAAGCAACCTACTGAAAACGATCCAATATTTATAAGAAGGCAAAATTGTTTAATATAAAAGAAAACGCCACAAGTTTGTAATTTATCTCTGTTTTTATATTTAAGTAATACAAACATGACTTCTGATGTAAAGCTAAGCTACGTATAACGACAGTTTCCTTTGTTAAACAAAAATAAAGTGGTGTACAGCTTAGCTACGTATAAATAATTTTTATTAACAAAAAAAAATTAATCAATGGATTTACTAGTCTTTCTAATTGTAGTTTATGTATTTAAAAAAAAAATTTAATTCTGGTTGAAACATTTTAGCCGTTTTTAGCCGTTTTTTTGTCCCATCTAGCCGGTCGCCCTGAAAGTTCTGGCAACACTGCATACAAGGCAGGATTAAACAGTATTAAAAATATGCTGCAGAAACACAACAGCAAACAACAGCTGAGCTAAGAAGCAATGGTATGCTATAACAGTATGTTTGAGATGGAATGACATGGCATAGCAATACATGAAATTTTTGAAAATGATATTTTAATAGATACGCTGGGAAGAAGTTAAGAAAATGTTTAAATTTATATTTTGTTACCTACCTACCGATATTTGCTAGTACCAGAATGAGAAGAGATAAAACTCATGAAAATGTGTTCTTATGTATGTGGCTCGAGCCTGCTCAACAGCCCATTAATATGGGGCAACGGATATGAGTCCTTTTTTGTGACCGCGTTCACCTTCCTGGAATCAATGCACAGCCTTAAGGTATTGGCCCAATGCACGCTTGCTTTGCTTGCTTTGCTTACTTTAGTTTGCTTTGCTTTACTTTGAAGGCTTTTATGGCCTAATGGTAGCTTTGAACGCTGTCATAGTAGTCAGCTGATTTTCAATGCGCGCAAATATACCCGCCATTCTTTGTTGTGCCAGCAAGTATAATTGTGAATTTTAGTTAAAATATATGTTATTAAACAATTATTTGTTACTAAGAACATTATTTTTTACAGATACCTTGCTTTTCTATCGTTCCGGTTTTGGTGAAGCTGCATTTGGCTGCGCCACTCACCACCCGTGTTTATAAGACGTAATATTCAATTGGAGGTAAAAGAGTTTATATTAAACAATTATTTGTTGCTAACAACATTATTTTTTTCAGATACCTTGCTTTTTATCGTTCCGGCCACCAGATTCGTTGGTTTTCATAAAGTTTCATTTGGCAGTACAAAATGTTGACTCGAAATGCTGAACAAGTTTTGAGAATTTTCCTAATTTTAGCGAAAATGCGTAAATTAAAACTGCGATTAAAACAGAAGCGCCGATTTTGGGTTCGGAAATTGTACTTAGAGCGACACAAATATGGATTGTTTGAAAGTTCATTAAGAAACTTGGCTGCAGATGAGGAGCAGTTTAACAAGACATTAAGAATGCCCTTTTCGTTATTTAATGTGCTGCACGAATTTCTGGAGGCTTCGCTGACCAAATATTCAATCAGAACACCAATATCGAGTCGCTGCAGACTATTTATAACCCTGATGTAAGAGAAAATCGGTTTTACTTAATAGTATACGTATAATTTTCCATATATGTATCTGGTTTTATTATTTTGTTGCAGATATTTGGCTCACGGTGGCACTCGGCAATTCCACACAATAGTTCACAGGATCGGCCTGACGACTTTCAGGAAGATTACGTTGGAGACATGTATGACCATATGGGATCTGTTAGCTGACCTGTATGTGGCGACCCCGTCAGAAACGGAATGGGGACGTATTTCCAATGAGTTCAAGTCGCTGTGGAATATGCCCAACTGCGTTGGTTCCATCGACGGAAAGCACATTAATATTACCTGTCCAGCGAATTCAGGGTCGATGTACTATAATTACAAAGGCAATTATAGTATCGTGCTTTTGGCCGTATGTGATGCCAATTATACCTTTACCTGCGTTGACATCGGAGCATATGGAAGTCAAAGCGATGGCGGTGTCTACCACTTTTCAAAACTGGCAGATGCTATTGAAAATGATAGGCTCGGCCTTCCACATGATCAGCCTCTGCCAGGAGAAACCGAGCCATTTCCACATTATTTAGTAGGAGATGCTGCTTTTCCCTTACGGCGTTATTTAATGCGACCATATCCGGGTAGAGGTATTCCAGAAGAGCAAGAGTATTTCAATAAAAGACTCTCTCGTGCAAGAAGAGTTATAGAAAACGCATTTGGAATACTCACTGCCAAATGGAGAATATTGAGAACGACGCTATGCATGGCCCCGAAAAATGCAGAACAAATAGTGAAAGCTTGTATTGTCTTGCATAATTTTATTAAGGTTTCGTGTGCAAACTATGTAGCAAGCGATTTTGTTGATCGCTACGAAGAGGATGCCACCATCGCTGGCTCATGGCGAAACGAAGTAGTTCCATTGCCCTCAATAAGTAGGGTGTCATCGAACCGAGGCAGTTCAAATAATTATGATTTAAGGGATGCTCTGAAGACACATCTTTTTAACAATAAAATTTAAATAATTACTACTCACTGAATATGCTTTGTTTTTATTATTTAAGATAGAAAACAAAAATTTGAACTCACAGTATGAGGGCACTTATTGGTAATGTTTTAAATGTCGTCACATCTTTCAGGTTTTTAAATTAATTTTTGTTCAAGGTAAGTATGGCGTTAACATAACATATATTTCATTCAGTCTTTTAAGTTAAAACCGTTTTACACAGTATAGTGGTTACAAACAATATACCTTTCAGTCAAACCTTTGAAATCAAACTGGATGTCATTTAAATTTTTAAATTTCGTAAATTCAATTTTTAGTAATTTTTATATTGAGCATAGACGTATTGAAGTACGTCCATTTGAAAATCTAGGCGGCTCTCTTCTGGGACCTTCTCAAGACACTTCGCCAATCGCACCCAAGAAATTGTTGTGTGTGTTTTTTTTTTGACTATCCACAAACTGACTTACTTCGTTGACTAGATCGTTAAAGGCGGCAGTTCTCATCGTTTTTTTTCTTTTGTCTCTTAGCCGGCGTTGGGGCAGTGGTTTCTTGCTCTTCTATTATAATGTTCCCACTCTCGCCTATTTGGAATCCAAAGGAAGTATCCAGTATATCTGGTTCTTGTCCGAGAACTTCTGGCGTTTGGGAGACGATGTTTGTTGTTGTTCTTAAAATATGTACATATAAATTACAATTTAAAATATAAATACTTGTTGTACAAATGTAAAGTACACTTACTGTCTGGGCGTGACCGTGTCTTTCAAAAACAACATAGCATCGAAATAAGGCCAAGTTCGTCTCTGAAGTATCTGAAAAAAAATAATGTTGTTAGCAACAAATAATTGTTTAATATAAACTCTTTTACCTCCAGTTGAATATTACGCCTTATAAACACGGGTGGAAGTGGCACAGGCAAATGCAACTTTATGAAAACCAACGAATCTGGTGGCCGGAACGATAAAAAGCAAGGTATCTGAAAAAATAATGTTGTTAGCAACAAATAATTGTTTAATATAAATTATTTTACCTAAAATTGATGAAGAACGCGATAAAAACTGCACACAAGCAAAATCGACGCGAAAAATTGAAATGTCAAGAGTTGTCAAAAGCCTACAGCGCGCTGTCAAATAGAGATTTCGGCTAATCGATACTTTAAAGCGCTTCAAGCAAGTGAAGTAAAGCTGCCACTAGGCCAACTTTCATACATTTTAGTAGATTTTAAAAATTGTTTGACAGTTCTCAAAGCCAAGCAAGCAAAGTAAGCGTGCATTGGGCCAATACCTTTACTTTGCCTGGTTTCCGGACTAGTACCACTGCACTGCACCATGGTGATTCGATTCCTCAATCACTCCCATCTTGAGTAGCATTTCAATTTCGCTATAGGCTTCCGCCTGCCTGGGTGGTGTCAGAGGAAAATGCCTACTTTTAATTGGCACTGCGTCACCCGTGTCTATATGGTGAGTCACTAAGCTGGTTTGACCTAGTCCTAGCTTATCAAACGATGGAAACTCCTGGACAACTTCCTGCAACGCTATCTTCTGATCTGGCGTGAGCTGATGGAAGTTTGGCTCATCTTCACTTGGAAAGTCTAAACACGAGACGGTTGGAAATACATCGGGAGCTAAAGCAAATGCCTTCCAGAAATCAACTCCCAGGTATGCCCCTTGAATTAGTGATGGTACGAGATGAAAGCGGATAGTCTTTGTGAGGTTCTGAAAGTGACTGGCAAAGATATCGAGCCGAGTATTTTCTGCTGATTTCTGCCAGCGATGTAAACAAATGCGCGCAAAGGATGATATTATAAATTGTTCCTTTTTAGGAATTCTTCACATCCGTTTCCAAGAATGGAAACGTTTGCTCCGGAATCCAACAAACCAACAACGAAACTTCGTATATTTTAATCTTTGCTAACGGGTCTCTCATCTGGTGTTATCAGAATTTTAGTGCTTTGCAAAAGTTTACGCATATTTACTCGGCTGGAATATCTTTTCCTACACTCTAGAATATTTTCGGAAACTAAAAGCTTTGGTTGCTCTTAGAAAATATCTGCCCTTATCTGTTCATAATCATGCTCTCTTTGCTCTAAACTAGGGATGCCCAAATCAGCACATATGTGTCGCGGGCGACTGCGCGTGCAAAGCTTTGCACAGCGGTGCTTGGCAAGCGCGGAAGCAAAAAGTTATCGGAAGGGGAAAGCGCCCGGCTAACCAAAAGGATCCTAAAAGACTCTTTTTTGAGCTATAAACCTTCTTATAACGGAGCTTTTCCCTCATAAATGAATTCTATTTGGAGCCCTAAATGAGCGATTTTTCGTTCTACGCGGGGACGCTGAATGGAGTCTAAAAATGACTCCGAAAAGACTCCAAATCCGATGAATTCGGTGCATTTAATGACTCTTTTTCAGTCAATTTCGGAGCTCTTTTGGAGTCATATTTGAACGTTTTTTAGAGTCAGATTTGAGCATTTTTTTGGTTCTTTTTTGATGGTTTATTGGAGTCTTTTTGGATTCTTTATATAGCATTTCGTAATACCTTTTTGATGTTTTTTAACCCCCTTTTAATAGATTAAAACAACTTTTTTTACTTTTCAAATTTAATTATTTTAATATTATTTCTTTTATAAATATAAATAATTTTTATTAATAACTAAAAATATAATTACATATACTACATGCATTATTACCATACCCCCCGTGCCAAAATTATAAGCGGACCACATATTGACAAGTTTAAACAAATTTCCCTGATATGATTTCTGTCAGCAGCCTCTTCTGGGTAACGTCCAGTTCTCGTCTTAAAATCTCCACTTCTCCCTTAAGTGCTTTAAAGAAATTAAATTTTTTTTATTTTGTATAAAAATAAAGATAAAGATAAAGATAAAGATAAAGATAAAGATAAAG